GGGGGGGGTGGGTTGGCGGGAGAGGTGTTTAGTGTACTGTTTAGAGATTTGGTTTAAGTTGTTCTTCAGTCTCTTCAGTATATTTAAATTTGAAAATATATTAAGAGAACAAGAGGATTTGTGGCTTTGAATTTTTCTGAGAAAAAGACCTAACCGACAAATTTATCTGTCTACATGGGAAAATAAAAATCAGCATGTTTTAAAATGAAACAAAAGATTCCTCACTCCACCAACTGATGCTTATCTAACTTTATTCAACTTCGCTCAAATTTTCCACAAAAAGGAGTCTAATTGAATAGTATGAATATGGAAAGTAATGACAAAATGGTTAAAACAGAGTGAGAAAAGGATTGTAATGGAAGTTTATACATAACAAAATAATCAAGTTTATTACTGACTGCCCTATCTACCGGGCGTACCACTACTGTCTAAAGCAGAAACCAGACTTCAATGTCAGGTGACACTAAAATTCTCTAGACGGAATTTCACTGGCTTTGTTTGGACCCCTATATGTTAGAAATGTTATTAGTTTTATAAACCCTGTCCTTTTGTAAAACGTATGAAGTCCACCATGCACTCCAGCCTCTGTTATGCAAAGGCTGTTTAAATTTTATCTGCTCCTTGCAACCCCATGTTCCAAGTTACAGAACAATACAGAGTTTGCAAAAAAAAACCAAAACAGAACAACTAACAGGAATTAATGTATAACCTGCTGCTATCCACGAGCACGCTTCCGAAAGTGAGTTTCAAAAAGCCTGTTGCTTCCCTGGAATTAACAGCAAAATGCTGGGCAAAACTGAAAAAATACAACAGTATTTAAGTAAATACTTTTGCACACAGATTGAAGAAAGAACAACTGAAAAACTACAGTGTGCTCGCTCTGCATACTTGGTCTCTATTTAAGGGCCAAACTTCAACCAAAATCTGTCTGCATCCTAGATTGCAGAGGATTACAGGGTCTGCTTTTCATCTCCCCCAATCCATAACAACAATAAACATGGCTAAACATAGACAAACTCATACAAAGTTTTCCCACTATGAGAGCACATCAAACACTGCTCAGAACTGCCCAGGGTTTTGGTCACGGACCCAGCGTTAAAACAATGCTATGTGGGCTCGAGTGTATTTTTAAGGGGAGACAGCACTGACATTAAGCTGCAAGCCAGTGGAAACATCCAATAAAGAGCATTCACGAGTTTAACTCCTCTCTCCTCCCCAGGAGAATGCCAGAGAACTTAATGGAAAGAAAATGAGCCACCATTTTCCACAGTCCTCTTGGGATATCACACAAAAAGCTGAATTTACATTTTTTAAAACAAAACACAACCGCTGCAGCGATGACACTGCCTTTGCCTTTCTGGGGTGTCTGTCATCACCAGTTCTTTGCTGAGTACTGCTATTCAGGCTCTGCTCTGTGCTTTCTACGTGGCAGGAAATGCTTACCTCTCTCTGTGCTTTTCTGGCTTGCTTCTCTTCTAATTTCCTCTGCTTCTTCGCTCCAATTTTCCCAGACACCTGAAATTCTGGCACCTCCTCAGCATCATCTTCCTCTGCAACGTAAGAGTCAACGACAAATTTTAAATCGCCTGGAAAAGTCCCTTCGAGAAATGTCACTGCTTCCTAGCAAAGCGGCAGCAGATGAAAAGGAGACACACATACACTTCAGACAAGACCTGTTAGATGGAAAAAGGGAAAAAAAAAAAAAACACCACACGGGACTGCCAAAGCCACAGAGTAGAAGCAACCAGGCAAACACACACTCAAGTGAAGCCAGAGGTAAAAATTTCCTTGATCTTTTGCAGGAAGGCTTTTCATAAACATTTCTTCCCTTCCACAATTAAAAGATATACTTTCTCTTACAGATAAAATACGCTAATGGTTATCATTATCTAACTGCTCTACAGCCACCTGCAGAGACTTTCTTCCCATTTACCTTGAAGCTTAGCACAACAGACATCCATTCAAAGAGTGGAATTCAGATGCATGCCATTCATCCACTAGTTCTAGCCTGATATAACCAACCTTTAAGGGAGGAGAGAAAAAAAAGCCTCCCTGCAAGGCAAATCTTAGGCTCAACTGCAACAAAACTACACCTAAATAGTTCCCTGTTGTATGACAACTGGTTGTTTATGATTTCTGCAAACGTCAAATATGAAAGCGTCATGCTCAAATGATGTGCAAATGCATTATATATCTGCTCACTCAGTGGCTAAGGAAGACTAAAGAGCTTTTAAAGACTGCTATTTCCTCCCCCCCAACCAATGTCTCGTGAACATCTGGCCACTTTATTTGCTAATCTAAATTAGTCCTTGATCCTACAACATAAGTACTGTGTATTGACCTCAACACTGAAAGAGAAATCATCAGCTCACTTCATCAAACACTACACAATATATAGATTCATGCATCTGAATTGGATGGCAGAATCAAAATGAAAGATCTTTATCACATGGATCCCTTTTTTGGGTAATTTATACTTTGAGTATCCACAGTGCTTTCACGCTTGACACCGGCTTCAGATCCACACGCGTGAAGTCCACTGGGTAATCTGAGGAACGGCACCGCCCGCTCCCGCTGTTTTCCTGAAACGCAGTGTTCATTTAGGGAGGGTGAAGGGGACCAGTGTGCAGGGGAAGTTCTTCCTTGGTAAAGTTTTAGCCCTCATCATTGCAGGGAAACAAACCAATTCCCCGCTTACACAGCCCCTGAGCAATTGGCTTCTAAGACCAGGCTACCAAGAGAAAGCCCATCGTGTTTGATACCCTGTTCCATGAGCACCTGCAGCAGCCGTACCTGGAGCTGACCGTGCCAGAACTGGTTTGGTAGGGCTGGTGCCTGGATGTTTGCTGCAGGGAGCTCTCTTCAGAGCGCCTGGGCCCCTCTTTTGGGAACCCTAAAAAGCTGCTATTAAAGGAGCATATGGACAAACGAGACTCACACTTCTTTTATACGTAGAAATAGGTTTGAAACACTCTTGTTTTACTAATTCCAATACACAGTATGGTACTATGGTTAAGCCATCGAGACACAGCATCACAAACAAATGCAATTGAGAGCTGTGTAGGTGGCTCTCAAATAACTTAGCTGTTTTCAGGATATGGAAGTTAATATCAGGCATGCTTGCTGAATGGGGCTTCAGAGAATTACTGGTATCTGATTACTGAGATGATCAAAAGGACTCCCCTCCCTACACCACAAAGAGAGCAACAGGGGACACTCAGGTTGGAGACAGTTGCTTCTACAATTTTGCTGAAGCTTAAAATAACTTTATTTATATTTGAAATACCAGGCCAAGGGGAATTCCAAACACAGCGGGTGAGCAACCCAGCATTAGCAGTTATTACTCCAAAATGAACAGTTCAATACTGGTATTATTCTTCAGAAAATTATTTCTGGAAAACACCACAAGTATAAAACACCATCTATGACACTATTCAACCTGAGGCTCTGAGTGCTTCTCCGATTTCATCTATATTAAAGAGTACCTGAGCCAGAGTTCAGGCAGAAGTCTAGAAAGGCTTTTAAAGCCTTTTTCCAGTCCTGGATCAAACATCCCTTTGTTCAGCAGCATTTGCTTTCCGCCCGTTTGAAGCGTCTGATGTGATCCCTGAAGTACCACCTCCTCCAAGCTTTTTCCAGTGCATGGAGTTACATCCAACAAAAGACAGAGACAGCGATGCAGACGCAGCCCATGATTCAGCAGAGCATTAAAGGTCAACAGGGCACTAAACCTGGGTGCAATTAGTCTGTGCTAAATAAACCTGAACATGCTGACAAGAATATAAGCACGTGGTAAAAGGATTTGCTGAATCAATCAGTTGTTATAGCAGAATAGCTACACCAAAAGCAGAGTGGATGCTGCACACAGCCAGAGAGATTTTTTTTTTTTTTTAACATAAAGAAGCTATCGTTTCAGCAGCTTTTAACAATCACTTTTCACATACTCATCATTGCCAACACCAGCAGACCTGATGGGGTGGGTCAGTCCATGGGAATGCGCACTCCATTGGCCCCTGGGGTTCAGATGTGATGCAAGATGTTCAGTTAATCGTGCTTGCTTGTTGTGAAAGCAGTTCATCATCACCCAGAGCACTAGGGTTGACCAGCCCGCGTACATACTGGGTTGGGAAACCTCACAACATCAGACATCATCGTATAGTTGGGGACCTTATCGCTCTCTACAACTACCTGAAAGGAGTGTGTAGTGACGCAGGCGTTGGTCTCTTCTCCCAGGTAACCAGCGATAGGACAAGAGGCAATGGCCTCAGGTTGTGTCAGGGGAGGTTTAGATTGGATACTAGGAAAAATTTATTCACCGAAAGAGGTGGTCAGGCATTGGAACAGGCTGCCCAAGGAGGTGGTGGAGTCAGCCTTGGAGGTGTTTATAAGACTTGTAGATGTGGCACTTCAGGACACTGTTTAGTAGGCATGGTGGTGTTGGGTGGATGGTTGGACTCATGATCTTAAAGGTCTTTTCCAACCTATGATTCTATGATAGTTGAAGCTGAAAATGTATTTTTGTTTGAAGGCTGATCTTCTGTGGTGCTCTGCCCAGTTTATCTGATGTCTTAAAATGCGGCAGTTCTGGGATGTACACAGAGTCATGACAGGAAATGGAGAGAATTGGAAGGCTCCAAACCTGACACAAGCAGTTTTTCAGCAGTGACTGTTCCTAACTGCTCACAGAACCACAGGATGTAAGAAGTCCTGTTCCCGCTTCACGATACGGTGCTGATGGAGCAAGCCTCAAGGCACACGGGACCCTCTTCACACAAACTGCTTGGATCTGACATAACAGGACTGCTTTCAGCCAGAGTCACAACCCTACCAACACATCCTGGTCCATCTTTACAGAGTCCAATATAACTATACCAACATTTCCAGAGCTTGCAAAGCCCTCCCACCAGCTTCCACCCCTAAGAGACAGAAAGCAGAAATAGTCTGACTTACAGTGACACTTTCACACCACTTTACATATTCTGCTTTACACAAACATGGGTTTTGCTCAGCTAGCCAGCTGAGCGGTAGCTTCAGGGAATCATAGCTTTTCCTTAATGTTTGGAACACACTGAGAGGCAGGACAACAGGAAACGGTGAAGTCACACAAGTGTTTGAATCTCTTGAAATTTACAGACTAGTTTTAAAAATACTTCCCAATACCATTAGAAAGTGTGCTGGAATGCTGATGTTCTCTACCAGGACAGGAATGTACCAGCTACTGTGTAAAACCTCCAAATGAATCAACTCACACCATATATTGTAGTTGCCCTTGTCATCTACATCAAAGCGTCCGTTTTGCTTCCTATTAAGTTTTGGGAGTGAAGCAAGTGGATTTCCCATCCACAAAAAAGGATGCAAGTGGCACACGTGGCTGCTCACAAGAAGTCTTTTAGCATGGCTAGCTGCTTTGTTTACTATTTAGGCAGCACCTAACAAAAGAAGTAAGAGAAAGGGGGCGAAAGATGCCAGGCAAAACAAACAGTTCATCCTGAAGGCAGAAGACATATGCGTGTTATCAACACTGAAGAGATGTATGACACCAGCAGCTGGAAGGAATCGGTCCAGGGCATGGAAAGGTGTGGGCATTCATGAGTAACACAGCCCTGCGGTGGCAGAGCCATAACAATTTTTAATTTTCTTTTTTTTTTTTTAAGTTGGTGGCTATCCAGTTTAGGAACTGAACGAGACATTGACTTATTAATCGAAAGCCACAAAAATCAGTCTACACTTAGGACAGAAAAAGGACAGCAAGCGAAGGACACCACACCTTCTGAGCAGATTTCAAACGACTTGAAGTTTTTTCTCGAATAAAGCCATATGGCATAACTGAGAAACCACACACCTACCTCTTCCACACACCATCTGCACTCGAAATGTCTCAAGGGCAGACACACATTGTGGATACTTTGATAACACTAAAGTTACTTTCTATATGAATATATAGAAGTCAAAATTAACTTTTGATTCACTAGTTAGGATATTAGTAGTCAAAGTTTAACTGTACTAGAAAGGTTTTCCTACTGATTAAGCACTAAAATTATTTCAACTGCTACATCAATTAACATAGCTCTATTACCAGCTGTTTCACAAGAACAGCATAGGACCACATCAGTGTTTCTAAGTTTATAAATTTCCCAGATCTTGCAGCACACCAGAGTATGGAGAGATGCACCGTTACACGAGAGGTAGACAGTATGCTCAGAAAAAGTGCTTCTTATTTTGGCAGATTTCAGCACAAACACATTCTTCTTTTTAAGTTATGTACAGTATCCATCACTGAATAGGGATATAAAGATATAATTATTTTTATTTTTCTCCAAAACTATCAGAGAACACTCATGCAAGATTTTTTTAGATGCAAGATTTGAAAGCTACACAAAGCAATAATGGGCATTTTAAAATGCCCAAATATTGTATTTTTTTAAACTTCTAAAACCTCTTTTTGTTTGTTTCGTGCTTTCTTCCCCAATAGTGATTAACACTTATAAAGAAAAACATGAGATTTTGATCTCCAAGTCTTGCCAAGCAAAAGAGGAGAGGAACTTATAAT